CTGGGAATCAGTGAATGTGACGTCACCGACGTCACGTTCGTTCAAACGAGAATCGTGTCACGTTCGTTTTAATATACCTAACCAGCCTCGTCCAGGAGCCGATTCACGTTCAAACGAATGTGACACAGTTTTCAAACGAATGTGACACAGTTTTCAAACGAACATGACACGATTTACGTTTAAAGGAACGTGACGTCACATTCCGTGATTCCCAGTGCGGCTGGTATACTGACTGTGGTACCATCTCTCGGGAAAAGGCTACACTATCTGAACGAAAATGGCGAGGAGTATGCACGAAAAAGACTCTCTGTCAATACACGAAATAAGTTCCTTTTGCCGTCCGGGGACCGGTAAGGGGGGCAAGCGCCTTAGGAGAAGGTGGGGCACCATGTGATAGTTTTTGCTTTAAGGGAACGTGGGGCACCATGTGACAGGGCTGCCATGTGACATTGGCTGGCTTTTCCCCCCAAACGGCTTGCTATCCAACAGCGGTAAGAAGACTTAAAGGAAGGTGTCATGAAGGGGCATCGACGTGCACACGGTGAAACTGATGTCTGGAAATTTCCAGATAATTTTTCGCATTTCCAAATATTATCTGGAAATGCCCTTTTTTCAGATATTGTCTGGAAATGTCTCCTTTTTGCAGACAATATCTGGAAAAAGTCAAATCCCAGACAAATTACTGAAAAAAGGCATTTCCAGATAATATCTAGAAATGACTCAGAACCAGACTATGTCTGGAAATAAAGGCCTTGACGCCGATGTCCACGGCCGGGTGTCCAGGATTTGCGACCTGGGGGTCCCCGATGGTGTCCTCGAGGTCCCCGCCCCACGGGATCATCCACGTGGACGAGACACGTGGACGCAACGTTGATTTTCACGTGAAATCGAAATGGATGGCCGACTCGACAATCGAGTAAAACCGTCAAAGTCAAACTACGTGGATGCAACGTGGTTTCAGCAACTCGCCTTATCTACCCACCATCGGTGTTACATCGAGGCGCGTACCGGTCCTTCTGAGCATGGTGAAGCTTAATTCGCTTATGTCGATAATCGATTAGTCTTAACCTACCCTCCATTCATGGAAGGAAGTCCTCCCAACTCCCTAGCTTGATCCCCGTGAGGAATTCTGAGAATAGAACGATCGCGACGTTTCCTACGAAGTCTACGTCAAGTCCACTTAGGTTGCCCGATGTGCTTCGTAATATGGCTCTCACGGTAAAACCTTTGTCGTGTTTTACAAGGACCGGTCACCTAAGCTAAGGGTCTTGGCCCCTGGTCCTTAGGGAGACGCCTCTGGCTAAGGTAGCTCCTTAGCCAAACTAGCCCAGCGCGTCGTTTTCACCGAGGGGAAATCACTGTGAATTTCGGTGTACAAATCCAATGAACTTTAGTCGAATTTAGACGAACTTCAGTCGCTTTATAAACTGAAGAGTGCGCATGGCACGCTCCCCCAGGGAGTATGCCACAAAGCACGCTCCGTCCTGGAGTGTGCTTGCAAGCACACTCTACGGAGGAGCATGCTTGGCAAGCACACTCTACGGAGGAGCATGCTTCCAAGCACACTCCAGGATGAAGCGTGCTGCGGCGCTATTGCAAGGCCCATATGAACGAAGAGGCACGCCTTCATCCTGGAGTGTGCTTGCCAAGCATGCTCTTCCGTACAGTGTGCTTGCAAGCACACTCCAGGATGGAGCGTGCTTTGTGGTATACTCCCTGGGGGAGCATGCTATGCACACTCTTTAGTTTCTAGAGCGAATTTCGGTTGAAATTCGATGAATTTCAGTCAAAACTCGATGAATTTCAGTCAAAATTCGATGAATTTCAGTCAAAATTCGATGAGTTTCAATCGAATTTTGATGAATTTCAGTGAGTTTTAGTGAATTTTACAAGTTTGATTAATTTCGGTGTACAAATTTGGCTGGAGTTATTTCCCCTTGGTTTTCACGTCCGCCATTTTTAACCTCACATTTGCCAATTGTAGGAATTCAGAAAATAAACTAATAAAACAAAACGCAACATATTTTTTCACGTAAAATTTAACGCTGAATCCGATTCTGTACTCGCTTATCGAAAAGAAGGAAGGATTGCTGAGAGAAATTTGGATTACGTTTACGCTACGGCGCTCCTTCAGCCGACCACATATTTCACGGATGCGAATGAACTAGATCATCCAGAGGCAAACACACTGCAATTTGGATGGGAAGACTTCACGCCAAAATATGGCGAGACTTTTATGTCTTGCCTCTGGAGTGGCGAGAAGTCTGACCTTTGGATTTGTAGTGCAGGCTCTCGAAATGGAAGAATCGCAGTTTTTACCTTGGTATTTTATGAAATTTAAATACCTTTAGTTGGTTGAATTCGTCTGTTGAGCTTGAAGCATCGGTATAATTAGGTTATAGGCTCAACATGGCCGACATGTAAACAAACGCTTGGCTAAGGAGCTACCTCAGCCAAACGGGTCTGCCTAAGGACCAGGGGCCAAAATTGCCAAAACCCTTAGCTGAGTGAGATGACCGTCCTTGTAAAACACGACAAAGTTTTTACCGTGCTGGGATAGGGTGAATTTGCATCCTACTTGGAGGTCGAGAGGGTAAGGAATGACAAGAATATCAGCAGGCCCTCTGTCGGCAGCTTTTAAAACTAATCGAGTTCCAAGGTCCTCGCATCTTCGCTGACTAGACATACACATCTAGACAGACGACCATGCGTCAATGAATTTGGATACATGTGATCGACATCGAGACCGTGTTGAAAAGTTAAGGCCCTCAATCCACATACCGGAGATACGAGGACGTACCACAAGGAGTCCGTCAAAGCAACTTTTTAGTCGGAGGCCAAAATCATCTTCGGCCTCTGGTTGCGTTCCACTTGGGTGTCCGGGACTTTCGACTTCAGCATCGTGTTTAGGTAGTGCTGGACTACCAGGAACCCGTCAGGGGTCGCCATCGGGCCTCCGCTGCGCCCATGATGCCGACGAACGTGGGTGCTGTGCAGCAATACGGTTCTGACAGACTGAGTGTACCACTATTTATGCCCTGATCATCGTACCTGTCGAGGGGGAAATCACTCTTAAAAACTGTGACCCGACTACTTCCTATTACGTTCTATTACGCTATTACAGAAGGCTTATTTCGCTCAAAAATATCCAGATTTAGGCTAAAATCGGACCCCAAATAGGGAAAATTTCAAATAATTTGTCTGTTACGCTATTACTATTACGCGTAATACTAGGATTCGGTGACCCGACTATTACGCGAGTGATTTCCCCCTCGGTACCTGTGTAGGGCCATTCCATGCCAGTTCATCCGGGACCCCAATTTTAATGTCTCGGATTTTGACAAAGAGGAGCTCCAGCTCCACGCACAAAAAAAAAGCACTTGGCCGGGGACCCCCTCAGATCTAGCTCCCTTCCGGTTTATAAGGTTCCTCAAGTGAATACGAATTGCCGAAACATAAATAAACAGGACCGGATCCAACACCGATTGGCTTTTCGGTATGGGTAAAAAAACCCGAAAATGGTTGTTTTTGAGGGTTTAGGGCTTTTTGGGATCCCGGGACCTGCTTGCCAAAAAAATCTACCAAAGTGTCTTTTCCGATAAGAAAAAAGTGCGCTCTTTCGTATGCCGCATCGCGCGAGGCTCTACGACGTCGAGTTTGGACGCTACGGGCTCTCAAAGTTGCTCAATTTCACTATTTTTCCTGAAGATTTGAGCATATGAAGGCCGTTCGAAGTAGACCATCGGCGATTTTACTCCCCTTCGGCTTAAGGGGGCTCATACATGTTAAAAGCACTTTGTGAAAAAAAAATTGTGAAATTTTTTTTTTAGCGTAGACGGATAAAGATTTTACAATTTCTGTGTTAAAACCCTTTTAGATAATTGAGTAAGCTTCATTTTGGCTTAAAAATAAGTGACTTTGGACATTTTTTTTTTTGAGATTAATTCGAAACGTTTAAAATTTTGGTTCTCGTAAAATTTTGTTCGCATACTTGCTCAGACCTGTGGGGAAAAAATCAGAGAGACTCATCCCTAGTAGTGTCATAGAATTGACTACAATGGGCTTTATATCTGCAATAGTTTTGAAGAAAAAAAATGAAAACAATTTTTGCAAAAAAATTTTGTTTTAAAAATTGTAATTTTTTTTTTGAAGACTATTGCAGATATAAAGCCCATTGTAGTCAATTCTATGACACTACTAGGGATGAGTCCCCCCTGTTTTTTTCCCTACAGATCTGAGCAAGTTTGCGAACAAAATCTTACGAGAACCAAAATTTTAAACGTTTCGACTAAATCTCCAAAAAATGTCCAAAGTCACTTAACTTTCAGCCAAAATGAAGCTTTCTCAATTATCTAAAAGGGTTTTAACACAGAAATTGTAAAATCTTAATCCGTCTACATCAAAAAAATTTTTTTTTACTAAGTGCTTCTAACATGTATGAGCCCCCTTAGCCTAAATGGTGCCTACCCATGTGTAAACTCCCCAAGAACACTTTAGCCATCTCAGGCAATTATTAGAGGAACTGTGAACATTTATAGTTTTGGGTCATGTAAGGCCTTTCGGCAAAGAAGGCCAGGTGCCAAGTTGGATGCAGGTGGGTTGTAATTGCAGGCATGCTTCAAACTGGAGTTGGTAAAGTAGATTACATGGTACTTAAGCGTCGGAAATGGTTTACGCCAATATTAGGACCATTTGCTGGGTTTTTCCACTAAACCTAACGTTACACTGGGATTCCAAACGCTATGAATATAGCACCTACATACGGTGCAATGCACTGGGAAATCACACCATATGTGCAATGCCTCAGTCATATTGCACCTTACGTGCAATGCGTCCCGAAAATGCCCTATGCTAATGCATGGGAATGGGAAGGCATTGCACTTCATCTGCAATGCTTTTGCATTGCACCAATTGACGCCATATCCATAGCGTTTGGATTCTCAGTGAAAGGGCCCGGGCCCTTTTCGGAAGGCGGCCACGGATCCGAATGCATGTTGCAGGCGCCGCCGTGGAACTTGAAACCAACCTCACGCTCCTCCACGCCCTCGTCCAGAAACGGTCCAGAAAAGGCTTTCCGCGCGGTGCCCTGCAACGGCCAACTCACTGAACACGTTAGAAGGAACAGAAAGGTTGCAAATAAAGTGACGGCATCAAATCAAAAAACAAGGATTTTTAGCAGACGATGTGGAACGCTGGCTTGGATTCTCAATAGGCGTAATGACGCAATAATGCACAGAGAAAACAATATAGATGGACGATGTTCACGCTGAGAAAAAATGACGGTAAATCCTGGATAATTTTTTGCCAAACTTTACCGTACTTCAAAAACCAGTATCCACCGTACAGTCTACAGGACCAGGTCTGGTCCCAACAAGGGCCGCTTCCAAGAATTGTCCACATCAGGATATTGAAAAAAGGGGGTCGACCGACTGAAAAATTTTATTGCACCTTTCTCGTCAAGTCCTTTATAACGAGTGGTCGGAAGGGGGGTCCAGGAGTCCGACTTGAGCAGTTGCATACATCAGGAACTTGGAAAAAGAGGGTCAACCGACTTAACAAAATTATAGGAGTTTTTGATAGGTATTAAAAGTACGGGATTCCCTGTAAAAAAAGTACGGTGTTTCCTGTATAAAAAAAGTACGGTATTGCCTGAAAAAAAACGACGGAATTGCCTTTTTAAAAAAAGGACGGTGAAGTCTGGAGTAATCAGTACGGATTTACCGTGATCTTTTCTCGCAGTGAATTCTCCGGTCAAACTGCATGACATTATTGGATTGGCCCCTTTGGGGGAACGTAAGACAAATATAAACTTCGGGAAAAAACGCTGGTCTAATTATGCCCCATTGGCGTTAGAGCTGGGGTTTCGAGGCCGAAATGGATTCCTTTTTCGTCATCCACTGAAATTCGAAAAGTGAGACAACTGACCGTTTTTCCGTGATACAAAACGTATGACCGAAAAACGGTCATACACAAATGTATGACCGAAAAACGGTCATATTTAAATTTATGCCCAAAAAAAAGGTCAGACATCCAAGACTGGCTATTGTTTAGTTTGGGGATACATAAGCCTTTACCCGTGATACACTATAAAGTTTGACCGTTTTTCGGTCTTTCATTTCAGTATGACCCCTTTTCGGTCGTACATTTCAGTAAGACCGTTTAAAGGGGGCAAAAGTCTGACCTTTCTATTTTTAGTGCGATAAGCACCCTCGAAAACACAGGATGTGATGTAAAACTGGGTTTGAGATCATCAGTCAGTGAAAAGTGTTAACGCTTGGACATACCTAATGACCCTGCAAAGTCTCAGTCCGAGCCATTCAGGAGTAATATTGACACACAGGCAGACGAAACAGTTTAAGGTGGGAAATACCCATTGAAGCCCCCTTTTTTAAAGTGCCTAGTTTTCATTGAAAACTCTTTCCTACCTTAAGGAGTTTAATTTTGTCTTGTAATGTGTTCCTTAAAGATTCCAAATTCAGCCAGACATTTAACCCAAGTACCCTATGAGTGTAGAAAACTTCGGCCAAAAAACAGCGCTGCCAACCTTCGGTGCGCCAGTTTTCTCGAAAAGTAATTGATCTCCAGGTCCAGATATTCTGTACAGGATACTTGACACACATATCTAGTTCACACCGTCGCCCTTTTTTGAAAGTGAGTTCCAGTTTTTTTGTAAATAAGGCAGAAAAGTGCAAATAGAGAGTCAATACTTCATTTTTTGCACTTTTCTGCCTTATTTACAAAAAACTGGAACTCACTTTCAAAAAAGGGGGGACGGTGTGAACTAGATATGTGTGTCAAGTATCCTGTACAGAATACCTGGACCTGGAGATCAATTACTTTTCGAGAAAACGTGCGCACCGAAGGTTGGCAGCGTTGTTTTTTGGCCGAAGTTTATTACACTCATAGGGTAATTGGGTTAAATGTCTGGCTGAATTTGGAATCTATAAGGAACTCATTACAAGACAAAATTAAACTCCTTAAGGTAGGAAAGAGTTTTCAATGAAAACTAGGCACTTTAAAAAAAGGGGCTTCAATGGGTATTTCCCACCTTAACCCCACCCGAGGAACAGGCTTCGCTATCGCCACCACACGGGTGGGGTTGAACAGTTGAGCAATTTAATAATTATTGTTTTCAACTGGCCAAAATGGGCTAGGGGAAGGGTTTTGGGGAAAAAGCAATCACCTGCTGCTACATATAATTAACAATATAAACAATCGTGGTTCGTGAAAAGCACTGGCTCGCTCGTGCTGGCTTCAGCCGGCAAGGTACGTAGTTATCGACATCGTGAATTCCGTTATGCTCGAAGATTGAGCCGGAACCCGCACATGCCTCGGCTTCTTCGGTTTTCCTTGTTCAATCTGGGGATTCGATGCGATGCGGGCCGACGGGCACCGAACTATTTAGCTGGTTCAGTCTAGGCACTGTGGAACCATAAGCTCGAGCACACGCCAGCAGCTCCTTGGGAAGTACGCGAAAGTTTAGCCGTGGCTCGCCATTTGCCGTAGAAGAAGGAAGGCACGGCTTTGATGTCGAAGTTGGTTGACATGTTGCTGAATGAGTATGAGCCCTGTGAAATTGAAATCGTGTTATGTTACTAAATAGACAATGAGAGCGATAAAGGTTGGGTATGTAAAAAGTAACAGTGAACAGAGCAATCACGATGTCACGACAGATTGGTGTAGAAGGTTTGGTGACGAGCATGACCAAGGGGAAAAGAGAAGAGATCGGGGGGGGGGGGGGAAAGCCGTTACAAATGGGCAACTTAAAGCTGTCTTTTCACTAACCAACCATGTTTCGAATGGACATGCCCGACCTCACCATAGCTCCTTTTCCAATGCGTCTCGTGAGTATGCTCTCTGCAATTCTAAGTTGTGGTGTTTTTTTTTTCAGACTGTGAATTGAGTAGTTTCGGTGTGTGTTCTCTGCAAACTGAAGTTTTTACTCAGTATGCGTCTACAGATGTATACTTGCCTGAGTGCACGTCTACAGTTGCATGCTCAGCTGCATGCTCAGCTGAGTACACGTCTGCAGCTGCATACTTGGATGAGTTAGGTATGCATCTGTAAGTGTGTACTCAGCCAAGTATGCATCTGTAGGGTGTACTCAGCTGAGTAGGCGTTTGTAGATGCATACTTAGCCAGGTGTGCGTGCATCTATAGATGTGTACGGTGAATTCCACGTCAAACCATCACGACCCAAACGTACTTGCTCACTGAAAAAAGAATGGGCCAAAAATTTTGGGGAGACAAAAAAGTCTCGCCATTCTGTGGCGGAAAAAAAAGTCTCGCCAAAATATGGCAATAATTGACTGGGATTTTATCCAATATAGTAGGGTTGCAATTATTGCCATAATTTTTGGGGAGACATTTTTTTTCGCCAAAAAAAGGCGAGACTTTTGTTTCTCGCCAAAAAAAAAAATGGTAGACTTTTGTTTTTCGCCACAGAATGGCGAGACTGTTTCTTTCCCCCATGGAATGAATTCCGTCCTTTGACTTTTCAGTGCTCGATCCCGGGTCCCAAATTATTCTATCGTGCCCCTTCCTCATGTCACGTCCCCTACGCCCCCTCCGGTGACCCGCTCGTGTGTGGTAGGGTAAGGTGCCCCGTGATGGCCACTTTTAGCGCACAAATGCGCCTTTCTCCCCCCTTACGAAGTTTTTTTAATCGTCGTACCGTTTGGGCAAATTTTTAGGAGCATAAAAGAAGGATAGAGTAAAGGATCTCCAGTTTGAAAAAGAGCAAAATTTAACTCTGCCTTTGCGAAAAGCGTAACCAAAATCAGTCCAGTTTGCCCAGTGATGGCAACCCTTTGCTTAGTGATGCCCTGGGTCCTGCTCGGTGATAGCTTCTTTAGGTTTTTAGAGGGGAGTTTCTGTGCTTCCGTTTTTCACAGTAATCAGGGAAAAAAGAAAAAAAATGCAAATCTGAGAAAGAAACGCTGTGATTTCTGATTTGATATCAGCTCTACAAAATGAACAAAACATGTCAAAACAGCATTCGTTTCGCTGAGCCTGTGCGGCCGCTCACGACAGAAACGAGACGAAATTTTTGCAGTGTTGTGTTTTCTTATAGGTAAGGGTACAAAACCCCAAAAGCTCTACAGTTTTTAAATTCTCCCGCGTGGATGAGAAGTGAGCGCAAAGTCTAAAGTGGCCATCACTGGTACCATGGCCATCACTGGGCACCTTACCCTATCTGGGGGGTTTTGAGTACTAATGCACACTGAAGTCAGAGCTTGAAAACGCGTTCCAAGCCGGATGAGGACGTACCGGGGGGAAGGGGCAGAAGGCATTGGGGTCGTCAAACAAAGCCACCATGGTCTTCCGCCAGAGAGTTGGGGTCACAGTGCGGAACGCCGTGCAGAACTTCGGAAGCGCGAAAATATACGCGTTGTCCTTCCAGCCACCCCCCAGCACTCCACGAGCAATGTTAATGTTGGCCTGGAAGTTGAAAACCATTGAGTGAGTTCAGCACTTTAGAACAAATGGTTTTTCCCCTGCTGACAAGGAACAGAAGGTAGGTGTAAGGCAGATCGTGGCATTTCGTAACAGGCTTCGCGATGCTGCGCCAGTTACGACAATCCACGTCTCGCGTTTACTCCTACCTTGGCCCGCGGCGGCGCTGGCATGGCTTCAGGCTCCTTCCTTTGCTAGACATCGACACACTAATCGACGTGATCACTAGTCAAACCACTCACTAAATGTTGTCTACAATTTTGTACGAGACATCAATTTTTTGGGGCACACGAAATTTTCGTTCTATTTTCGTACGAAAAAAATGCTCATTTTCGCCATTTTTGTACCAAATTTTGTACAAATTTGTACAAAACGTTCGTGTGAACAAAAAAAAATGTGATGTCTCGCTCAAAAATTTTACAAAAAAATCCAGTGTGCAGCATTCGGTTCTCCAACTACTGCTGCTGGGCTACGCCCCCCAGATCCCCTTTCAAGTATGCAGTTACCGGGCTATTGCTGGTCGCACTGCAAGACTCCTTTGAGCTTGGTACCCGCAAGAGCGTCAGACATTTCGTAAACTTCGGACTTCACTTGTGTTCAAATTATGCCTTATTCGTTCGCTGAAAGTGTCTGAAAAAAGTGCCTTTTTTTTCGTTTAACAGTTTATTCTGGTTTCTTTTACTGAATGTTTTGAGATAAAA